AGCTGAGGAATGTCATGTTCCTGACTCTCCCAAGGGAAAGATTGGGCCTTTCTATTTGTCCTGTGGACAGAAACTAAACTGAGCTGGTCAGCATTACCAAGAGCTGCTAAAGTGACCTTATTCCTTTCATTAGAGTTTGGGGCAATCTGTCTCTGGAAGGAGAAACTAGGTCAGAATATAGCAGTTCTTCTAGGCCAGATTGCTGGAGGCTGCTGAATTTCATAAGCTATTCCTCAGCTGACCACCCCTCCCCCTTCCCCCTCAGCGATGAAGTAATTGGGAGGAGTTGAGAGCTCTTAGCCCACCTCCTCTTTAAATATCCACCAATCAGGGTTTCCATTCACTTGTCAGAAGGGAAACACAGAGATTTTGTCTTTGATGACTGAAGAGATCACTGACCATCAATTTATTGACTATTGGCTGGCCTAAGTAATAAACTGATTTTTAATGCCCAGAACTTTGTCTCTTGGATGTTTATTCACGACAAAACAAAGCATATTCCTAGAGGGCTTATGATGAATGTTTTCTATGTAATTGCAACATGTTGTTCTGCATAGTATGTAATGTGTTTTTACTATGCAGTATCTTAATGTTATATTGTGCTTCATGGCTATCTAGTTGATATATGCAATTATACAATGCTATGTTTTTTTCTTGCTATATATTTCTTTGATATGTATTCTGATATGCAATATGTGGTACAATGGAAAGAGTCTAACCTTTGTAGTTAAAGGACCTAAGTTCAAATCCTCACTCTGCTACTTACTACCTGTAAGTAGTGACCTTGCTATCTGTAAGTAGCCACCTTGGGTGACTTCCCTCTAGCCTTGTTTCCTTATCTGTAAAATGAAGGGATTAGAGTAGTTGGCCTCTAAGATCGCTTCCAGTTTTCAGTTTATGAACTTGTGCTATGGCTATATGCACATATGTCATGTTCTTATATGTATTTGGTCATAGTACACAACTATTATACGTGCTCTGTGTCATATATTTCATAAGACATACTTTTCTTTTACATATACAACATTACATATGCTATGATTATGGGTAACAGGTTGTATTTATTGGATATTCAATGGCAAAGCTGCATATAATTCTACTGTGAAGTCATGCATTAGGTTCCTTCATGTACATTGTATTATGGCTAGTAGTAACAAAACTGTGCTGGATTTGGTAGCCAGGCTAACAAGAGTAACTACAGTAATTATGAAAACTGTGATGTGATGATTTCTATAATTCTGCCATAGATATGCTAAACTTGGTGCACTGTGTTGTATGTTCACAAATATCTTGGAGTATTGCCTGTGATATGCTGGGACTGCAAAATCTTTACTGGAAGGACAGTATAGAGTGGGACTCAAAGTCTGCAATGTTTTGAGGCTAGGTATTTATACATAACAAAAACAAAACTGGGGGGGTGGAAGGTGGCAGGCAAAGCCTGAAGCAATTCTACCTAAGAATTTTTTGCTATTCAATCGTTTTTCCAGTCCCGTCTGACTCTCCTTGACCCCATTTGGGGTTTTCTTGGCAAAGATACTGCAGCGATTTGCCATTTCCTTCTCCAGCTAATTTTATAGATGAGGAAACTGAGGCAATCAGGGTTAAGTGACTTGTCCAGGGTCACATAGCTAGTAAGTATCTGAGGTCAGATTTGAACTGAGGTAGATGAGTCTTCCTGATCTCAGGCCCAGCAGTCTATCCACTTCATTACATAGTTGGCTTTTACAGGGATTTTATTCTCTGTTTTTCTACCTCACATTCATTTGGATGAGAGATCAAAGAATCTTGGATTTGAAAAACAAAAAACAAAAACCTGGGAGGGAGAGGCAGTTCTGACCCAGAGAAATCTTGGCAATTTGTTGAAAGAGCATCCTTTAAGATGGTACTGGATAGTTGCAATTTAGCAATCTGACATTAAGTAGGGAGGACTTTCTAAGTTCTGCCTAAGTCAGACAGACTTTAGAGAAAGTGTTGATGAGCAGTAATGGAGGTTAAAACACACACAAAGTCTACAACACATTTTATGAGCTTGGAGCCTGAAGCACAGAATTTTCTTTTGTTGCTTTTGTCAGTTTTCCTTTTGTCTGTCAGGCTCCCAGAAATGGCCAAATTCCTCTTCCTGGAAGAAAAAGGCCCTAACGACTTTTCCCTAGTCACATGACTGAGTGTGTCAGGGTCTGACCTTTTTAAAAGAACTACAAATTAAGACATGACGGAAACCACCTCTCCGTGGTTTACAAATGAACTTGTAACTCTAAGCTGGTATTTCTCTTGGCTCCCTACCATGTTTGTCCATTAAGGAAGTAGAACTAACACTTGATGGTTGAGGCACAATCTGTGCTCTGATAGCCTTCCTGTTGTGACCACTGCTTTACATTAGTTAAGCTTCTCTTAGAAATGGTGATAATCAGATTCACATCTCGTTTTTTCAGAATTAACAGCTTGCTTAAATCACACTCATTTTGGAGTTGTTGACTATGCATTGGCCATGGTTATCTTCTCATCTTTAGCCTTCCCTTTAATTTGGTGCACATGGATTCAGAAATAATCAAACTATCAGTAACTAATCATTTCCTACTTGTTAATATACAGCCAATTAGTTTTTGTTATGTTTTTCAGTGTTCATCATGTCCAAATTTTGACTCAGAGTAAGGAAAAAGTTTTCTAACAATTAAAGTTCTCCAAAAATGAAATGGGTTACTTACTATGGGAGATAGTAAATACCTCATCCCTTGAAATAGGGGCTGGAAGAGCACTTATTGAGGATATTACAGCCAGGATTAAAGCTCTGAGTAGGGGTAGACTAGATGATCTCCAAGGTTCCTTTTAGTACTGAAATTTAATGATTTTAAGGCAAACTTCCTCTTTTTGCCCATAGGATACAATTTGGGTCCAATGAACTCTGGATAGGAGGGCTCTATTTAGTTCCTTCCCAAAATTAGTCTCCACTATGCTGAGAGGCTAAGTTGGCTCTGTCCTCTGTCTCTTTCTCCATCCCTTTTCTTCTACACTTATTCAGCCAAGCCCTGCTCTGGGACAGGTGCTAGGAATAATTATGTCCTAGACAATAAGCATCTCAGACATCTACATTAGAAATCTCCACTGTTGGGGCAGCTAGGTAGCACAGTGGATAGAGCATGAGCCCTGGATTCAGGAGGACCTGAGTTCAAATCCAGCCTCAGACACAACACTTACTAGCTGTGTGACCCTGGGCAAGTCACTTAACCCCCATTGCCTTGCCAAAAAAAAAAATCTCCACTGTATTCAAGACGAAGGAGGAACAAATAGAAAGCTTATAAAACACACCAATGTTGGGAAAATGGGGTGCCCCACATACCACTGGGGTGTTTGAATTTATGGAGGAACAGGCTAGACCATAAGAAGTATTCAATTTTCAGAAGTCAAGCTGTTACATTGGAAGGGTTTAGGGCAAAGTAGTCCTTCTACCTTTTGTTCACTATGATTTCCTGACTCAGAGTATAGTTAGGTGGTAGATGTCATAATCCCACTGATACTGTCACTAATCCTGGATATGATGTAGGTCCCGAGGCTAGGTAGAACATGGGCAATTTGTGACAGATTTGGAGAAAGGTGTAATAAGAATGACATCATGGGGCAGCTAGGTGGCGCAGTGGATAAAGCTCCAGCCTTGGAGTCAGGAGGACCTGAGTTCAAATGAGGTCTCAGACACATAACACTTACTAGCTGTATGACTCTGGGAAAGTCACTTAACCCCATTGCCTAGCCAAAAAAAAAAAGAATGACATCATGCGTGGTGGTGGTGGTGGCAGGCAGTAGAGGAGGATGGCCTGGATGAAGCTTAAACAAGAGAAAGTGTGGTTTTTCCCTTCAGGATGCCCATGTCCAGCAGGTTGTGCTTTTTCCCCCTCATTATTTCCCTCATGTGGCCTCTTGGGGGCCACAGTTGCTTTTGGAAAGGAAGTGTGCTCCACATTCTGGTTGTTGGGGGAAGGAAGCATATGGTCCAAGTCTACACTGTTGAGCAAAGCCCCAGCGTACTCATGCTGGTTATGGCTCTGGTAAACGATGGTAAGAGGCACAGGAAGTAAAGTTCCCTTACACGCTGACAATCTTCCCTTTCCCTATAAGGGGAAAGCAAAGAACAGTTCTCTCTCCTACCTCTTCTTTCTTGAACTTTCGCCAAAGGATCTCCCAAACCATTCTGCCAAAGGTCTGGTCACGAGCAGATACACAGATTTCCCTTCTCTACCACTAACAAGTTTGAAAAGTGTAATGGGAACTAAGGTCCTAAACCATCCAAAGGGAGTCAAAGATTGAATATAAGAAAACAGGAATCCTAGCACCTTGATCCCAGTTTCCAGGGGTTCACTGAGGTTGGTCTGATTTTAAAGGATGTAACATACCTTGACCCCTCCTAAGCAAATGCTGCCTAGTCAGATCACAACTCTGTGACCACCATCTGCCTGATATTGAAGAAAAGTGCTGGATGAGGTATCAGAGACCACTTTGCTAAGTTCCCTGACTTTTGGCTACTCTAGCAACAAGATGTTGTCATGAAGTTAATGGGAATGTCTCTCACACCCTCCCCAACTGGCTCCAAAAACCTGACAAATTTATTTCTATGGCCTGTTTTAAACTTTCCTCAAAAATAAAATAATTTGTATGAGTCCAGGTCAGGGGGTAAAGAAAGAAACACTAAGGAGGGCAGGGGCAGAAGGAAAACTCTGTGTCCAGTTTCTTCTATGGCAGTACTCCCTCTATCCCACTTCCTGGTGCTGCTGTTTTTGATGAAATGAGAACATGGGACTCTGGGATCGCAAATGAGGAATTGTTACTTCTGGAGATCTAGACCTGAGAGTCAACAGTAGCATGGCAAAAACTTTCCTTTTGGTTAATTCCCTTTACCTGGGGGTAAGAGTTTCCATTAAGCCTTTTTCTGTCCTCTTTCTCCCCTTCTTATTTCCCCTGTTCCAGGGGAAGACTGTTTCTAGAATAATGTTGAAAACACGATTGTCTATTAGTCAATTTTAATGGAAGCACTGAAACACAATGGACAAATTTTCTAATGCTATTCCCACAATTGCATGTGTCAAGTGGACCCCCAAATCAGCTTGTGGTATTTTTTCACCTGAAATTCTCTTACCACATGGTGTGATCCATTTATAATCTCATCAGAGATGTGTTTCAGCAAGGATCCCCTCCCTACACACACAACCCATACTGCATGACATATGACAATTGAAAGTTGTGTAATATAGTCCATACACTGATAGTGTAATATAATCCAATCAGATAATCCTCTCTCTGACCTACCTCTAATTTTCACAACATACTGAACTGCAAAGTGACTTCTTTTCCCTCACAAGACAGTGTGTTCCAACAAGACATCCCTTCGTAACATGGTATGTACCAGTTAGGAATATGGCTGCACCACCTGAGGATAGGATAGGAATTTTGACCCTTGCTACAAGGGAAGTCAGTTGCATTCCCATTTTTTGCTTGGCAGAATTCGATGAGGGGATAAAAAAGGGAATGCTGATGAGAGGGGAGTGGAGAGTCTCATTTCAAGTTTCTGACCTAATACTCTCTTCAGGCTCCCACCACAATCTACAGATGAGTCTCCTTCTCCAAGGTCATCAGTCCCTCTTTAGTTGGAGGTGAATAACCCAAGCTATGAACACCATCAGAACACTTCTTGGGCTGAGGCAGATCCAAGGCTGGGGAGATAAGTTGTCGAAAGCGCTGTGGAGAGAATAGACAAGATGGAGGAGAGTAGAGAGAGGACCATTCTTAAAATCAACCAGTCTGGTGTAAAAATCAATGAATCAGTGAACCTCCTTTCCCTTCCCACAACTTGCTAGGTCAGTGGAAATCAGTCCATTCCTGATATTTGAACATGAGCTAAGTGGAAATGACCTGGCACTTCATTCATTCACATTACTTACTTTCCAATGAGAAATGTCTTCACCCTTACCATATGGCGCATTCCAACAGGACTCTTTTGTACATGTGCCCACAGGTTCACAAAAACATTCACAACCCAGTTCCTCAATGGGACTCTTTTCCCTACTTATGAAATGTATCCTAATAGAACCCCACTCATAAGATGGAAAATGCCAGAGGGTGCCTCTTAATTTTACAATATGAAAGCATCTCAGGTAATCAATCCTTTTAGCATGACCTCCATGTGAACTCTCAGGTCCCAGATTTTGTTCCCTGTATAAGGCCTCACTGCAGTACTTTTCTATCACCTTTCCCATCTCCCACCTCCTTCTCCTATCCTCTTACCTTCTTGAAAGAGCCTTGGGTCTTCAGGAAGCCTATAATGAAGAAGAGTGGGACACAGATCATGGAAGAGAGTGCCAGCATCCAGCCAATTGAGTATCCCCAGGGTGGGTACACATAGATATTATTATATTTGAGGGGTGTGTACTTGATCAGGGAGAACAGAAACGTGGCCTGGGTAAAAGAAGAAGGGATAGTGATGGGTAGGAGGATGGCTTATGATAAACCATTCATGTTCATTTGAGAGTTGAACTTTAGTGGCCATCTAGACCAACCTATACACAAAAAGATTCCTCAGTATAACATGCCTCTTTTCACATGCTAGCTCCTCAAACACTTGAAGTCAGCTATGATGTCTCTCCTGAGTTTTCTCTTCTCCAGGTCAAACATGCTCATTTCTTGCAACCAATCCTCATGTCATGGACAAGCCATTCGTAGCCTTGGTTACCCCCATCTGGGTATTCTCTAGTTTATTAATGTCTTTCTGGAGGCATAATGCCCAGATGGGGACTGATGAAGACAGACTACCATGAGATTATCACTGAAAGCTATACCCATATTCATGCAGCCCAAGATTACATTGGACTTTTTTTAGTAGCACAAATTCCTGGGGTACTCTAAGACACCTCTTGCCATGTTAACACTGAACCATTAACAACTACTTTGATTTTAACAACTACTACCCATCCAACCAGTCTTTAATCCATCTGGTTGTATTAACTTCTAATCTACACCTCTCCATTTTCTCCACAAGAATAGTATGAGATACTTTAGAAAAAGTTTTGCTAAAATGATCAATCACAACTCCAGAAGACCAATCATGAAGCACACTACCTCCCTCCTAATAGAAGAGTAATGTGCAGAATGAGACACACATATGGGGGCATGGAGATGTGTGAATTTGTTTTGCTTTAGTATGCTTATTGGTTACAAGGATTGCGTCTTATTTCTTTGTTTAGTGAGGAGATTTGGGCGAGAGAAGAAAACTAGAAAAAATGTTACCAGAAAAAGAAAGGAATCAAAGCATTTTTTAAAATGCACAAAAAATCCCAAAAGGAAGTCCAGAGGGAAATGCAGACAAGCAGGACAACTTTCAAAGTAATACACTGAAAAAATATATATATACATATACATATACACATATATGCATACAAATATTATGTATATATTTAAAACAATCTAGTTTCACATATCCTTTTTTTGTTGTTCTAGCTTGTAGTTGGAAATATTCTCTCTTTTTCTTTCATTCTCTCTTTTCTGTGTCTATTATTGTATTATTGTATAATAAAAAATTTTGAAACTTTTGATAAAATCTAGGTAAATTATATCCACAGTATTCCTTCATCTGCTAGTTCAGCAATTCTGTCAAAAAGGGAAATAAGTCAGTCTGGTATGACCATGATGAAGACATATCAGTTCTTTGTAATCATCACTTCCTTTTCTAGATGTTGGCCAACCAATAATCCTTTGTAGAGCTTTTCCAGGAAACAAAATCAAGCTCAACAGCCTATAATTTGTGGATTCTGTTCTTTTCCCTCCCTCCCTTTCTTTCTTTTTTCTTTCTATCTTCCTTCCTTCCTTTCTCTTTCTTTCTTTTAAAACCAGGACATTTACCCATTTCCAATCATTCTATCCCTCTTCTGTGTTTTCCATGATCTGTCAAATATCATTAATAGAAGCTGAGCAATAAGCAAAAGCTGAAGTTCTTTCAGGACCTGAGCATGTGGTTCATTTGGTCTAGGTGACTTGAATTCATCAAGGGCTACTAAGTGCTCTCTTACTATCTCCTTACTTATCTTGAGTGTCATTTTCCCGTTAGTTATTTTGATCTGTTATTTCCCATGCAAAGGTCGTTCTCCTTTGCAGAAAAAGCAAAACAAAGTAAGAATTGAGCAGCTCTGCTTTTGTCTTAGTTTTCAGTTATCATTGTCCCATTAATCCCCAGAAAAGGTCCTGACTTGTCTTTGGTCTTTGCCCCTGACTCCAACACAGGCTAACATGCTTGTTGTCCTTTTCCCTCAAGTCATTCTCAGTTTTAGTTTTACTGAAACAACTGGACCATGCCACGCTCATATTCATTATTTTACCTGACATTTCTTCAATCTTTTGTTCAAAGCTACCCCCTTCCACATCCCTTTCCCATCTTTTAACTTATCATAGTCATTTTGTATAAGGCATACCTATCAAAAGCCAAGGACTAGTCATGAGTTTCACCCCCACTAAGGATGAGGTGATACCTACGAGGTCAAATTTGTCATCTCATATTAGGACATATAGTTGTTCTATAACTAAAAATGGGGCATAGATATTTGAGAATATAGGCTTTTAATATTGGTTCCTTTCTTGATTTTTATATCCACTGTGAATTTCTGGTTCTCTCAACTGCTATTATTTTTTGTTTGTACCTACTCTCTCTAATATTTAACTTTAGGGATTTACATAGGCAGTTTTCTCATTTTCCCAACCTTTTCTGGTTAAAGCCCTTTTGATTAGATTTGCAAGACATCTGTCAAATACACTCTCAATAGCCTGTGTTAGGTGCACTCCATCTTCATCCAGGAATCTGTCAACCTAGGATCCAGGAATCCAAGTTGTATTCTCAGATACCATCTTCTTGGTCCGCTGTTCACTTCCCAAGTTAATTTTTCTTTCTTTCTGCATTCCTTGGCTTCAATGGGAAACAGTGAAGAAAACACAATCTGTGTGCCTATGGTCTTCGGTTTCTTGCTCAAGACTTTATAACCAGTGGCAATACATTTTGGTTCCTTCTGGTAATACCATTTTTGCCCACATGAATCACTAAAGGTGAGTATTTGCCATCCATTTTGATAAGTCTTGGGAGGTTCTCGGTTATTCTCAGGCCCACCCCTGCCCATCCTCTACTTTTCTGTGCCACCAAGATATGGCAAAGATTAAAATACGAGGAACAGAGTCTGAGGCTGGAAATGAGCCTGGAGTTCTCTTCAAAATGTAAAAATTAAATAAATTCAGAATTGTTGAATCTTTAAACACTATCTGTGAAGTCATTTAGTCTATCCTGCTGCTTCTAAGCAGGTATGTACCTAATCATATTCTAGCATCAAGGATGTTACCCCAAAGGTGACCCAGATGAAGGGCTCTTCTGGACATAACTGGGAATACATGCAAGTCCAACAGGAATTGGAAGGAGTAAATCTACTTTGGAGGGGGGGAGTAGGGGTCGGAGAGAAGGGTAAGAGACTCAGAAAGTCCTTTATTTATATCAATGACAGAAAATAGGGAATGGAGGAGATATGAGGGAGGGGGAAATGGTGGGATGTAGTGGAAAGAATGCTATACTAGGAGTCAGGAATATATCAGCTCCAATACTTACTAGTTATGTGGACTTTAGCAAGTCACTATCTCTCTGAGACTCACTTTCTGTATTTAAAATATAGGGATTAAATCTGTATAATCTATCTTTTACAAGATTTTTGTGAGGACTTTGCTTTACAAATCAAAGTGCTATAAAAATGTGAGTTATTAATATTGAATATATAGAAGCAAACTAAGGCCTTCCCCTACCCTATTCCTAAATATCATCTGTAGAATATTAATTTATATGTCTTTAAAGTCCTTGTTCCCCAAACCTTATGTATACTTAATCTAAATCCCACGCAGACAATTTCACACACTGAAAAATACATGAAACCAAGATAAGGTAGAGGGAATGTTCTTTTTATTAACCAAAAGACGTTTCTTTGATTTTGGGTATACTTTGGGCAAGACCTTGGTTTTCCAGAAAGAGATCATCTCCAAGGATGGACCTCTCAACCTGGCTATTGTTCTGTTTGATGAATCAAAAACTCTAAACTGAACTTTCAGTCATAGGTTTATTTCTAAAGTATTGATTTTGGGGGCAGCTAAGTGGCACAGTGGATAGAGCACCAGCCCTGGAGTCAGGAGGACCTGAGTTCAAATCTGGCCTCAGACACTTGACACTTACTAGCTGTGTGACCCTCAACAAGTCACTTAACCCCATATGAAGACTTTACCTGGACAGGAAGAACTTCAATAAACAAGGGAAACTATCAATGAACACTCTCTCTAAGCAGTAAAGTTTATACATATATATAATGTTTACATATGTTACACATGTGTGTACATATACTAATATGCACAGGTGGTATTTACATATATCATGTATGTGCATTAATGTATCTGTCATTGCAATATAGATATGTTAATATTATATTTAATATGTTGTGGATATATGTGTATGTATATATGTGTGTGTGTATATATGTATATGTATGGAGAGAGAGAAAGAGAATGTTTCTGACAGATCTGAAGGCAAGAAACAGAGTACTAAGTTTTTCCTTCCACAAAGAATACAGAAAAAGAAGGGAGAAAAGGACCTTAAGAATGATGGGAAAAGATATTGTTGTGTGTGGTTTGTCCTTCATTCTCAAAGAGGACCATGACATCAGGGAGATGATGACATGACTTGCAATTGACTTTGATTTGAGTGAGGGAAGGCTGTGCAAAGTCACCAGCCTCACTTTCTCCTCCAGAGCCATCTGGGTCTAATGGCCAGATCTTGGTCAGGAGATGGCCCAGGATGAATTGGGAGACCTTGGCCCTTTTAAGCTGAAGTCTTTTCAGGTTTTTACTTTGAGTGAGGCAAGGCCCATTCCATGAATAGTCCTCTTTAAGAAGTGAGTTAAGGGATGGTCCCTTTAATAAAAAAAAAAATCAAACTGGGAGGGGAAGACCCTTGGTGTTGCTGGCCAAAGAGAAACAGATACTATTTACATTTACCCTGAGCCAGGAGGGCCCAAAAAATAACCATTAAGTGACTTAAACCCAATTCACTCTGGATCACTCTAGATCTCATGGGGAAAGATAGGAGCAGAGGTGAAGATAGAGGCATTTAAACAAAAAAAAAATGAGAAATATACACAATTAGATACTTCGATGAGTAGACAGGTGATAGTAAGGTGATAAGATTGGGCCAGAAAACTCTAAGAAGAGATACTCAGAAGATATACCAGGCTATTGGAACAACTACTGAAGAGAACCATGAATTAAATAAACATGAATTAAGTGCCTACCATATGTACAGCACTGTGCTGATACAAACAATATAAAGACAAAACCAAGGTGCTTATATACTGTACTAGACAAAGAAAATAAAACAAATGACTTAGATTTCCTTTTCCCTACTTCCCTAAGAGTTCTAGTTTGGGAGAAAAGTAGCTGGATTGGAATATAACATACCAAGCAAAGTCCAGGAGTTACGAAAAGCCAGCAGATCTTCACCAGCGGCCACGGCCGGTAGCCAATCATGTCTTCAATATTATCATAGAAACGGTTGGCTCCTGGAACAAGGGAAATAGAGGTAGTGGAGAGAGAATGGGAATGAGAGAATGATGTTATCATATGCTAGAAAGGAACTGTCATGATGATTTAGTATTCCTCCCATTTGGAGATGGGAGACAGGAACAGGGGAAAGAAGAGAGTCATCTCAAAATTATCATTGAGAAATGAAGAGATAGGGAGGGTATGGAAGTCTATCACAGCGAGAGTGAATCAGGATAGTATAAAGATCTTGAGTCAGGAATGATGTGAGTTCAAATTTTACCTCTGATACTATCTATGAAACCATGGGAAAGTCCTTTAACCTCCTATAGTCTTGCCTTCCTCATCTGTAAAATGGTGAGGGTCAAAGAGATATAATGCGTATTTAAAAAGTGCTTGGCAAACTTTAAAGCCCTATATAAACATCACTATTATTTTTAGAGAGTTCCAGGTTTGTCATGGATTGAAAATCAAAAGAATGGGAAGTCTATTCTAAGCTCTGCTTTTAAGTAGTGGCAAGTCAAGTGACTACTGTGTCCTGTCAGCTATCACATATGACAATGGCAGGGAGAACGCTTTGCTTGTCTAACCTTATGGGGTTGGTTCTAAAAAAACAAGATGCCAGTTGTTTTTAAAGCATTTGGAAGTTCTTCTTGGGATTCTTGTATTCTTAGTTGAATCTTGTCTTAGAGTGTGAGAGTCAAGTATAGGTTCAATAAAAAATTAGAACATAACAGAGAGTACTAGATTGGAGTTAAGAAGACACCAGTTCAAATCTCATGTCTCAATTCAATTTAACAAGAATTTTTAAAAATGCTTACTACATTCTAGGCATTCTGCTAGGCATTGGGAACTATGTGACCCTAAGAAAGTTAACCACTCTGAATCTCAGTTTCTTCAACTATAAAATGAGGATAATAATTACTTAACCATATTGTTATTAGACTTAAATGAAATAAGGAGCTTTGCAGACTTTAACATGCTAAAGAAATGTCAGCTGCTGTTAGTACCACTAATGATCAGGGATATCAATAATGTGATATCTATATAGATATAGATATAGATATAGATACAGATACAGATACAGATACAGATGTAGATATAGATATAGATATAGATATAGATATAGATATAGATATAGATATAGATATAGATATAGATATAGATATAGATATAGATATAGATATAGATATAGATATAGATATAGATATCTGCCTAGACACTGTGAGTTCTCATGGATATGTTTAAGGAGAAGCTTTATGACTACCTCTCAGGAACAGTGTAGGGCAAAGGTGTCAAATGGGCATGAGAGTGTGATCGAACTGGCTTGAACCAGATTAAAATGTAATTGGGGAACGTTTAACAAAATAAATAAACATATATTTCATGTTAACCACATTTTATTTTGTCCTGCTATACAGGACAAAAAAACAAAAGTAGGTGTGTTATAGGGGTTGGTGCTATAGCATAATAAACATTTTCTATTTTTTAACATTAGACAAGATGAAATTTCTTTTTAGTCACAGTATTTACTCTACCCATGATGGCCCTCAAGAAGCTCTCATGTAAAAAAAAATAAGATAAATGTAGCTCAGAGAAGGTTAAAATGAATTCAAAGTAAGCTTTGAATTAAATTTAAAAAACCTATATCCTGTGTTGAATATATAGCAATAAAATAAGAATTTAAAGTGCCTTAAAGCTGTTTTAAAAATAAGCAATTAAAACATATGAAGTGCTTCAGTTTATGGTCTAATTAGACTACTTTAAACAATATCATGAATCTATAGCTTACAAAAGGAAAAAAAATAAAATACCAATACTCTGTACTTAATATACATTATTTATATACTTCCATATACACAACCTCATATACTTTATAATAGTCTCTGAAGGGTTAGGTTCAAAAGGGGGTATATGTAACAATGAAACTGCTATTCTGTGCTTATTTCACTATATATAATTGAAAGCTGAAGGAGGCAAAATGAGCAATTTCCAAGAAAGTGATCCTTCAGTCTTGAAAATTGTAATAGGGAGGCAGAGGAAACCTGGGCATATTCTGCCATGCACTGGAAATTTAGAAGAAGCTCATTTCTATTTTATTATTTATTTTTATCAAAATATAATATAAGTGTCAATACAGCCAACTACATTTAGTCAGTGAATTTTCACATTTAAACTGATCAATTTCATCACAGAATATTTTAACAGTTTCAGTCATTCCATCTATATCAATTAATAAATCGAGAATTTACTAAGCTACTAATATGTGTCAGGTACTATGCTAGAGATGCAAAGACAAAAGCAGTAGGGCTTGCCCACATTCAGCTTACATTTCAATAGGAAGGGGAAGGAAATAAGCATGGTTTTTTTTTAAAGTGCTACAAAAATTATGAGTTATTGAGATTAAATACCTAGACACATACTAAGGTCTTTTCCCCATTCCTAGGTACTACTGTATAATATTAATTCAGTTTCCTTAGTTAAAGTCCTTGGCCCCCAAACCTTGTTCAGTCATATTTTTAGTTGTATTCAACTCTTCATGACCTCATTTGGGATTTTCTTGGCACAGATACTGGAGTGGTTCACCATTTTCTTCTCCGGCTCATTTTATAGATGAGAAACTGAGGCAAAAAGGATTAAGTGATTTGCCCAGGATCATACAGCTAAGTAAGCGTTTGAAGCCAGAGGTGTTTCTGACTCCAGGTCTGGCACTCTATCCACTTTGCCACCTAGCTACACACCCCAAACTTTACATATACTTAATCAAAATCACATAAAGACAATTTCATACAGTGAAATTCTTTTTCCTTTATTCTTATCAAATGTCTAATTAGTCTTCCTTTTCAAGAAAATAATCAAGAAACTGAGAAATACATGAAACTAAAATAAGGGAGACAGAAATGTTCTAGCACACGATCTACAAACATAGGTAATGTGATTGGTAAGTCAATATGCTACCTGCAGGGATCCCATTGCACTTTAGTGCATGGTCCCCCTCTGCCTATTTCTATTTAAGTTTGACACCACTGTTGTAAGGGACAGTCCTGCACTGGAAGAGGTTGGATAAGGTAATCTCCAAGGTTCCTTCCAACTCTATTGGTAAAGTAGGTAATGACTTTAGCAGCATCTTTGGGTGGAAGAGAGCAGTGATATCTCAACACTTCAAAACTATCCAACTTTCATGCTTCATTGTGACTTTGGGTTCTCAAAGGTTGTGCTGGCAGAACGCAATATCTGGCAGGTTCTCCCAAGGGTGGCATAGATCCAGCAAGGGACACATCCAGGCATTAATGGACCAGCCTGGCCAGATTAAAACAGGCCCATCAATAAAGGGTTAAGCCACCAGATGGTGACTTTCTTTTTTCCCCATAGAAGCTCATGAAGACTTTCTACCAAGGACAGCGGTTTTAGTAGAGAGGGTATCAACATCAGTGAAATCATGAAACTTTTGAAATGTGAGAGGAGCATCATCATAACAGCTACTAATTGTTAGGTGGTAATCCTTGCGACCATAGGGGCTCAATTCTGATCTGTCAAGGTCCTGCTCCAGTCTGGGCCTCAAACATTCCTCATCCCACACCCCTGCCCTGCCCCATCTTCTTGCCCCTCCCTCCATCCCCCATGCTTACCATACACCCAGCTAACGCAGATCACCTCGAAAAATGAAAGGAAGAGTAGGCACATGCCGCTGGAGGCATAATAATCAAATAGCTGGAATACGTACATCCCACCCTGTGGAAGAAATAGCAAAGCTGAGCTCTTGTTGGGGGGAGAATGTCTGGGGCCTGGGATGAGTAAACCCACCAGGGGTCACTCACAGGAAAGTGAGTCTTTAAGAACTGAGAGTATCTAGGCAACTCTGGGGCAGGAGATGGCCTGCCTGGCTCTTGTGAAGTTCTTTTTCAAACCAAGTTGGGGTGAGCCCCTGGGGATCCACCCTTGCTCCCCTTCCAGGCCTTGCCATTGGGCTGAGTTAATCCACGGACCAAAGGTACTACTGCAAAGGGTCCTACCCCATCGATGTCATGGGCAAGGCTACAAATGGACAGGGGGAGACTCTATTAGTACCCTTTGGCAGCTTGGGGTCCAACATGCCTGCCCCTCTTACCTCAGTGACAAGAAGCAGTCCAATCAAGTAGCACGTGACAGCGATAAAGAGGATGAGGAGTTCTCGCTTCCCTGACTTCCGTAGCTGCCTGGGGAACATGTCCATGGAGGCCGTCACCAGGCACTCCACACAGACAAACTGTGGGTGGGGGATGGGGAGGAGGTTGGGAGGGGAGAGGGAAAGGTGAGGGCAGGCTATTCCCCCCTTTCCCCTGTCCTTCTCCCCCTGCTGCTTCCTCTTTTTCTCTGACACATGCATCCTGAGACATGGGAGGAAAGGGGGGCAAAATGGTGCTGAGCAGCCAAGGAGAGGGGGTTCATGGGTAAAGCAAATTATGAGAAAGTGGCCATTCAAGTGTCACTGGGGAGAAAAGCAAGCAGATGAGACTAACATCTTCCTCTGTGGTCTCATTATGACCTGGAGAGGACCCTGAGCTCTCAAAGGTTCTGCACCCAAAGAGGCCATGCCTGCCATGGGCCTGCCGGCAGGTTCTCACAAGTTGGAAAGGCTTCAGGTATGACAGCATCTCTCATCTCCGGGCCAAGCTGGCTCAGGTCAGAAAGGCTCATCACCAAAAGCTTTGCCTGTGTGTGTTTTGTTGGGGTTTTTTATTGTTTGTTTTTTTGGTCACAGTAAAACATGGACCTATCTCCTGAGGTGTGAGTAGCTTGCTACCTATGTCCGGAGAGGAGAAGGCACACGTGCATAAAATTAAATCACAAATCCCTAAAATATGGAAGTGAGCACAACTGCAGATTTTTGGGTCTATGCCAATTTAAGCCTGGCTGGAGAGGACTGTGTCTTACTGCAGGTGAAGCCATTCCAAAGTGGCTACTCAGATGGCTGGAAGCACTGGTCCAGAAAGTGGACAAGAGGGAGAGAGGACAAGAAGAAAATGAGAAGTGGTTGGAAGAGAAGAGCATCCTGAGAGCCAGTCAGAAAGGATCCTGTGTTAGAGAGTCCGCAAGGAAGTCTGTGACAACCTGTTTAACTAGATTAGGGGCATTTTGGGATATGATTGCTATGCTCTGTAACTTGAAGTTTCTTTTTGTTTCATTTTCCTTCTTTCCCTTTAACATATGTGAAATCCTTTTGAAAAACCCAATTTCAAGTCCCTGATAGAAAGAAAGAAGGAAGGAAGGAAGGAAAGAAAGAAGGAAGGGAGAGAGAGAGAGAGAGAGAGAGAGAGAGAGAGAGAGAGAAGAGAAAGAAAGAAAGAAAGAAAGAAAGAAAGAAAGAAAGAAAGAAAGAAAGAAAGAAAGAAAGAAAGAAAGAAAGAAAGAAAGAAGAAGGAAGGAAAAAGGAAGAAAGGAAAGAAGGAAGGGAAGATGGAAGGAAAGAAGGAAGAAATAGAAGATATACAGGCCAGGCTAGGCAATAACTGGGGGCAGTGGTAGAGTGATGCAATGGGGGTAAATGGGAGCTCCTTTGATCTGCTGGATCTGCCACCACTTCCAGAAAGATATGTGCTCAAGCTCAGTGCTGAAGGATTTGCATTTGTGATGATGAAACAGTCACCTTATTGGTCTCCTGGTTCCCACGGTAGCAGGAAGATGTCATTGATGGTTTACATCAAAGATGATTGGCCACTAAGCAAGAAGAGCTGCTCATTCAGGAGAATTTATGGAGAGGCAATTCCTACTATCCTCTCTTTCTTCTTGTCTGTCAAGCATGACAGGGTCTCTCTGAGCTTCATTCACCTCAGACTTCCATTGGGGTTGGAGGGTTAAGGGGATATTTCTCCACTTGACCCCTGGAAGGGATGGTGGTGACTCACATATGGCAGTGAGAGCATGTGCTGGCCTAGATAAGCTTGAGACTGAACCTCAAGTCCCTGGCTGCCTCTTCTGCTCTGTGTTTCTTTCCCTGAGCAAACATGATCAAATGGTGATATTGAGAAGGTTCTTTCTTGCCTTGGCAGCAATCTCATGAGTTCAAAAAGTATTCAGGTGCTGATTGCCAGCAGGAATTAACCATTGAAACAACTTCTCAGCAGAGGAGATGACCGGTACCAAGAGGATGAACCCAAACTATTCCCTGGCTTGCCAGAAGATATGAACCTTGGATGAACTTCTAGGACAGTATAGAGCTGAGATGAAGGTGAAATGCCTGTAAGTAGTCCCACAAAGCACTCCATGTTTCTAACATTTTTAGTATTTACCTCCCAGGAATGATGAGTTATTCTATTATGTTTTAAGTATTTATCATGAGCCTTTTGTGTTTCAAGCGTTTCTTTCGTGGTGAAAGAAATAAATAGCAGTCCTATTTACCTTGTGCATTGATTATCTTTCTGTAAGGGACCCTGATTATCCTTTTTGGTAAGCCCTAGATAAACTTTAAGAAATTTTCCCTGTGGCTCACAGGTGAGGGTGTAATGAATCAGAGAGCATGAGAAAAACTGATTCTTATACTTTAGAGGTCAGACAGAGTTGGGGTCCTTTGATGGAAGGTGGTACCTACTTCCTGGGTTACACGATTCACAGAAATGTAGAGAAGTATACACTTCAACAGCTACTTACCCTTCCTTGCTGTCTTCTTTCCTTAAGCCACTACTACTTTTGCCAAATCCAAGTTAAGGGGACAGGACGGGAGAGCCCATGAAGAGAAACAGGTATCAAAAGGGGCTCCAGGGGAAAGCACAGAAAGCATGCTACTTACCTAGAGGGAGAGGGGAACTAGGCTTCATACCTATCTAGAGAGAGTTCATTCAGCAGGTATATCTGATGCCAAGAGACCAGGAGACAGAAAGATAATCACACACACGTGTGGGAAAGAACCCTAGATTTGGAGTCAGAGGACCTAGGTTTGAATCTTGGTTCTAATTATTATTTGTGTGAATTTAAGTCTCTTCACCTCCCTTGGACTTAAGTGGTAAAATGAAGAAGTTGGACTCATTGGCTTTTAAGATCCTGTCAGACTATGGCCAAAGAGCTATAAAAATGTGCATACCCCTTGATCCAATGATAGCATTTCTAGGGCTGTATCCCAAAGAGATCATACAAATGGGAAAAGGACCCACATGTACAAAAATATTTATAGCAGCCCTTTTTTGGTGGCAAAGAATTGGAAATTGAGAGGATGCCCATCAATTGGGGAATGGCTGAACAAGTTGTGATACATGAATGTAATGGAATACTATTGTGCTATAAGAAATGATGAAAAGGCTGATTTCAGAAAAACCTGGAAAGACTTGTATGGTCTAATGCTGAGTGAAGTGAGCAGAACCAAGAGAACATTGTACACAATAACAGCCACATTGCATGATGACTAATATTGATAAATTTAACCCTTCCCAGCAATACAAGGATCTAAGACATCTCTGAAGGCCTCGTGATGGAAAATGCTGTCCACATCCAAAGAAAGAACTATGGAATTTGAATGCAGATTGAAGCATACTATTTGCTATTTTTTTCCTCTTCTGTTGAGTTTTGTTTCCTCTTTCTGGTGGTTCCTCCTATTGGTTCTAATTCTTGCTTACACCATCACTAATGTGAAAATATATTTAATAGGAATGTGTACGTATAGCCTATATCAGATTGTGCGCTGTCTTGGGGAGGGTGGTGGGGAGGAAGGGGGAGAAAAATTTTAAACTCAAAAGCATATGGAAGTGATTGTTGATAAATCAAAATAAATTAATAAAAAACATTTTTAAAAAAAGATCTTCCAGTTCCAAAAGTTATCTAAATGGTAAGGCCTAGCAAGTAGAGCAGTTGAGGAAGCAGGCACCACAACAAGGGGTGAAGGTCCAAGATGGCGGGAGGTTGTCACATTACATCTGTAAAAGGAAGGAGCTGAAAAGCAGGGTGAGGGAGAAGGAGGTGTGTATCCCTGATACTCTTACCTGGCTATCCAGTCCCAGGAATATCAGCATAATGAAGAAGAGGCAGGACCACAGCTGAGATAAAGGCATCATGGTTACTGCCTTAGGGAATGCAATGAAGGCCAGGCCAGGACCTGTGAAACATCCCACACCATTCAGTGAGCAGGGGTAAGGAGATTCTCACTTTTACCCTCCACCCAGAGATCCATTTCTCCAACTGGGAAAGAGCCAACAGCATGACTGGAGGCTGGGACAGAACCAAGAGATGAGGAATTAGCTCATCAGCACAATTTCATGGCCCAAGTGCCTCACAAGCAAAATATGGACTGTAGGAGTCCCCTCTGCCACTTTTGCCATGCCTGGGGCTCTGGGTAAATGGTATGGGGAGATGATCTAGGCTCCATATTCTTATTTACCCCACTCCTTATAATATTGTGTCCTGAAACATGGCAACACATACCTGATTCTGCCACCTCAGAAATGGGCACCCTCTGCTCCTGAGCCATGAAGCCCAAGATGGAGAAGACAACAAAGCCAGCCACAAAGCTGGTTACACTATTCAGAAAGCAGAGGGCAATACAGTCCCTGCAAAGAAAAGACCACAAAAATGAGCCAGAGTAGAGGAAGAGAGAAATAAGGAGAGGCAGAGGTGAAGGGAAGAAAAATAGAAAGGGAGAAAAGAAGAGGAAAGGCAGGGGAAAAAAGAAATAGATATGGGGAGATAGGAGACAGTCTCTCTTGACTCCAGTATTCTTTCTGTTACATCATGATACCTCTCATGTCCGCTCTATCATGTCCCTCCTAACTTTTCTCCAGGCTAAACATTCCAAGCTATACACATGACATGACCTAGAGTTCATTCACTATACTGGTTACTCTTCTTGGGACCCACAATGCCAATGTCCTTTCTAAAATGTAACATTCAAAATAGAACACAATACTACAGATATGATCTAACCAAGACAGATTAAAGAGGAATTACCAATTCATTCATCATACCTGTCTTAATGCAGTCTAAAATTTCATTGGCTTTCTGTCTGCTAAGTCATATTGTTGATTCTTGTTGAACCTATGGTCCACCAAAACCCTAAGTTTTTTTTTCATGTGAACTATTGTCTACCTATGCCTCCTCCATCTTTTACTTGGGTAGATGATTTGTTGATGAGACTCTTACAGTCATAGATCCCATTGGCAGAATGGGACCTTAAGAGATCATCTCTACTAATCTTGACAGCTGAGAACAGAAGTGAAATCCTAGTAATGTGAGGTTAAGGTAAGTTTCTGCTTGAGCAAGAAACAGCAAAAAAGTCTTAGTCAAGCTGACTTTGGCCTCCCTACCACTGGAAACCTTAATACTATGTGTCACTTATACTTCACTAGAAATGGCAAAAAGTTATTACCGTGTCCTTGGTTTTGTAAACTGGCATGGAATGCAGAAACCATTTCTTGAAATCCACCTTAGACACAAAATTTCCTAAGTGAAGCTTTTGGCTGAGAATCTTCTCTCCTCCTCTCCCCCCACAGAGGAATAGACATTCCCTCCTTTTTCACTCCTTCAACTGAATAGAGGAGTCCACAAAATCAACTATTTCTTGCTTCTAACCTAAAATACCATCTACTTCAGCTCAAGTCACTTTCCTCTTGTTTAATCTTAGGATCCCAGAACTTGGAGGAACAGCTACGAAGGCCGAAGGGTAAACAGGTTCCTACCTGTAACAGTTGTTGTTGTATTTGTTGTAGCTGCCCAAGGCTGTGAGGCAACCCTGACAGATGGCAAAGGAGAAGAAGATCTGAGTGCCTGCATCCACCCACACCTGCAATCAATCCAAGAAGCATGTGGTGAGTTGGGAAAGAGGTAAGAGCCTGGATCTACATTGAGGGGAAGGACCAAAGATATCAATGATTAGGCATCAGGATTCTGGTTTCCAGTCACAGCTCAACTGTTGAGATGCTAGGTGATCTTTGGAGCAGTTTTCCTCTCCCTGAACTTACAATGAAGGAGACCGTGGTTCTTAGGACAATGGTTAGAAACTTATGACTTGCATGCTATGGCATGCAAAATGTTTTTTTTCAGGAGTAGCCAGGCTAGTTGCTACTGCTAGGACCTCTCCCTGGTTGCTTTTTGAGTCTGCTGGATATCAGTTCTGCCCAATGTCAACAACAGTTGACATCCCTCTTTCCCTGAAGAATCACAAGATCATATTATCTAAAGCTCAAAGGGATCTTAGGGGTCATTTAGTCTAACCTCTTCAATCAATCAATCAACGGGCATTTATTAAGCTTATTGTATGTATGTGTATATATATATATATATATACACACACACACACACACATACATATATATATACATATATATACACACACACATATACATACATACATATATATATATATATATATATATATATATATATATAATATATATATATATATATATATTGGGTATACAAATTTAAAAATGAGATAGTGACTGTCCTCAAGGGACATGTCCTTACATTCTACTAAGGAATACAATATGTTCACACATGCACATGTACACACATAGATATGCATACCTACATACATATAAATATAAAACACATAGTGTTTTATATATATAACTATATATAGTGTTTTTATATACACATAGTCATAGAAAGGAGCATTAACAACTAGGAGAATAAGACCTCTTGAAGTAAGTGATGCTTGAGGTGAACCTAGAAAGGAGCTAGAGATTTCAAGAGATGGAAACAGAGAGAGCATTCCAGGTATGCAGGACAACCTGCACAAAGGTAGGAGATGGACTGTCTTGGACAGGCAACAGCAAGGAAGCCAATTTGGTTAGAGTATTACCACAGAGTATATGTGTAATCATCCTAGAAAGACAGGCTTTTCTTTTACAAAGAAGAAATGGTTTGCCTGAGGTCACACAAGCAGTCAAAACAGAGACCAGACCCAAATTGATGTCTTCTGACTCCAAATTCAGTCCTCTTTCCACTACACCACCGCCTTCTAAATCAAAATTCCCTTAGAGATGAAACCATCTTAAATATACTAAGTATGTCCAAGTAGACACTTGTACACTCTATCAATAATGAAACTGAAACTAGCTATCCAGACCAAGAAGAACAGAGTGGTTCTATTATACTCAAACAGATGCCAGTTTTCAATGGGCATTTCTTCTCATCCTCCATCAAGGCTGTATATGTTTAGCAGTCCCCAGACTGAAATAGAATTATAGACAAGCCTCTAAATAGAGGCAATCATTTTTACTCTCTTGGCCAAATAACCTTGGGTTTTGTGGTTTGAACCAAACAAAAACAGGCCCATTCCACAGCATATATAGCTAAAATAGAAAGATGGATGGTGAGGGCATCCCCACCCACCTCACAACCTATTAACTCAGATGTTCCTTTAGTGTCAGTGTCCCTGGTTTTTTGGTGAGGAGGTTTTTCCTTTCTTGAAGTTTTGAGACCTCTAGAAAAGTGAGGTGGGAGGAAGGAAGGGATGGGGAAGGAAGGTAGATGGAAGTGCATGGTATAGTAGGAAGAACACCAGACTTCTAGTCTACAATTTGGGTTCAAATCCTGACTTTGTCACTAACTTGCTGCAAGATGAGCAAACGATTTTACTTAACTGAGCATCCACGTGTCCATCTTTAATATACCAAATGCCCTCTCCAAGGTTCTGAGATTCCAAGTCCTTGAGCCAAGAGAAGGAATCATTGAACCTTGAAGCAGAGGAAGGGCTACCATGCAGAATGTGTATCCTTCCCTTCCCCACTTGGGGAATCCCAACTCTGCTTACCGCAGAAAGCAGATCGTGGTGGAGATGAAGGCATGTCTGTAGCGATCAGCTTGGAGATAATATCGGGTAATGCTTTGAGATTTAGTTATAAATCCTGATAGACTGGTTAAGGACCAGTCATTGCTTTAATACAATGGCTCACAGAGGTAAAACCATCAAGCCAATTTTCGTTATGAGTATTTACACCTCAGAAATTGGCAAACACAAAAATGCTTATAGCAATTTTTTGTGGTGGCAAAGAATTGGAAATCAAGGGGATGCCTATCAACTGGGGAATGGCTGAACAAGCTGTGGTATATGATTGTGAAAAAATGTGGTGCTAGATAGGCTCTTCTGAGGTCATTTCAGCCATTCCCTTGAATGTCAGGACTCTCAGGATAGGACAGTGCAAACAAGGGAAGGTCCAGCCTCTGATTTTTCTCTTAAAGGTCTGCAGAGAAGGAGATGCAATAGCCTCATTCTAGCACTCCAGAGAAATGTGGAATCATAGAATCTTAGCACTGAAAGGGGATCCACAGATCATCCAGTCCACTTCCTACCCAGAGCTGGGCTCTAACTACTGTCTGAAGGCCCAAAGAGGTGGGGAAGGGGGGGGGGAAGAGGAAAGCAAGAAGCATTCATAAAGCACCTGTTACATTCTAAGCATTGTGCCAACTCTTTACAAATATTAATCTCATTTAATCCTCACAACACCCCTACAAGGTAGGTGCTCCCCATTTTATAACTGGAGAAACTGAGGCAAACAGAGACAAAATGACTTGCCCAGGATCATATAGTGTCTGAGGATGGATTTGAACTTGGGTCTTCTTAACTTCTGGCCCAGCACTCACACCATGCTACCTCGTTCCTGCCATGATGGATAACTCACTAACTCCTAGGGCAGCTAATTTTGTTTTAAAACATTGTTCATTGTTAGGAAGTTTTTCTTTAGTTACACTGAAACCTGCTCCCCTATATCTCCCATTCATCATTTCTAGTTCTGCCCTTTGGGAATAAGCAGAACAATTCTGATTCCCTCTTCCCGTGTGTGACCACCTTTCAAATATATACGAAGGCAACGATCATGTCTCCCTTATGTCGTCGCTTCTTCCCATTAGCATTGCCCAAATTTCTTCTGTTGTAATTTCAAGCCTAAATTCCTCACATTGTAATTTCCGGCTCTATTTTGGTTGACGTTTCTCACACTTCTGGTCATCGAAATGTCCCAGCAGCTTAGACTAATTAAGATTACAGAAAACGTTAGAATTTCTACCCCAACCTCTGAGGCAAATGAAAGATATAATGAAGGATCCTAGGAAAGTTATGCTTAGCATGATACCCACCTGGGGGTCCTTGAGGCGATGCAAGTCTGGTTTCAGGTAATACATGATCCCTTCATAGGCCCCAGGAAGGGTGACCCCTCGAATCAGCAAGATTATCAGCATCAGATAGGGGAATGTGGCTGTGAAATAAACCACCTGAAGAGGAAGGAGGAAATGATTATTCCTTGATCTGGGTCACAGGTTCACAGAATTCTAAAGCTGGTGGTGTCTTTTCTGAGGCCATTTTGTTCACTGAAAGTCAGAGTTGTGCTGGAGCCAGCTCAAACCAGCTCAAGAGAATTGGTTATTCAATTTTCGCTATGAGTACTTATACCTCAGAAACTGGCGAACACAAAAATACTTACAGCAATTTTTTTTGTGGGTGGCAAAGAACAGGAAATCAAGGGATGCCCATCAACTGGGGAATGGCTGAACAAATTATGGTATGTGATTGTGATGAAATATTATTGTGCTACACGAATGAACTGATGCAAACTGAAGTGAGCAGAAGCAGAAGAACATTATACATTGTAACAGCAATATGTACGCTGATCAACTGTTAATGACTTGGCTATTGTGATCAATGCAATGATCCGAGACAATTCCAAAGGACTTATGATGAAAAATGCTATCTATCTCCAGAAAAAGAACTGATGGAGTCTGAATACAGATTGAAGCATATTTTTTAAACTTTATTTTTCCTGGTGTTTTTGTGTTTTCTTTTGCAACATGGCTAATATGGAAATATGTTTTGCATAACTGCACATGCATAACCTATATCAAATTGCTTGCATTCTTAAGGGGGGAGAGAGGAAGAGAATTTGGAACTCAAAATTTTTTAATAAGAATGTTTAAAAAATTGTTTACATGTAGTTGAGAAATATTTAATGAAATAAGTAAAAATATATTGGGGGAAGAAATTAGCAAACACTACAAATTAGGCCTTGGTTTATTGTTTTGCTGATTGTCTAGATTTAAGAAGGTCTTAGAGAAAACATTAATGTAAATTAAACTTAAAAATGTATCATGTGCACTTTTTCCCTCTGGATAGCCAGTTGTTAAACATTAAGCAAGCACACCCTTGCCTAAAGTGCTGGAGAGAACACTGGATTTGGATTCAGGAGACCTGGTTTTAAGTTTTAGCTCTACCACTTAGTGGTGTGACCTTAGGTATATGATTTTTCACTGAGCCTCAGTTTCTGCATCTGTAAATTAGAAGAAATAACACTTGCACTATCTCACATAGGTTATATCCTTTGCAAAACATAGAATGCTATAGAAGTGAGTTGTTATTACTGTATACCATAACTACGGTTTCAACATCATTGATGATCCATGATAACTAAGTTAGGGCTACTGGTGCTTTGTCCCATTTAGAGAATTGGGAACTGATGACACTTCTACTTCTTCAACAGCATAGAAACGATGGAGCTTAGCACCTACCTAGCAAGAATAATTCAGCAGATTGAGCAAAAATCCAGCAGAATGAGAAACTGCCCTGTGGATCTCTTCCCTCTCCCCTCATTTAGCAATTTAATTTTAGCACCACCCTGGTCCTACCTCCCTAACCCTGGCAGAGGCTTCCCTAGCAATGGCCTCACAGTATCCCAGGGCCTCTCCAGTTACAACTGAATTTTGCCTTGAAAAAGTGAATTCAAAGGCATATTTCTTCAGAACTCAAAAGATTTTTAAGTGAATGTTAGAAATAAATAAATGATAAATTGATCTTAAAGGTATATTTCATGCAGCTTGTACAGGAGAAGAGAATTTTGTGAAGTTTGGCCTGGGTGCCAAAATTGCTAGTTAAGTCCTGTGAGTGCTTGAAATAGATCATCGCAGAAACATGGACAAATCTGGTCTATCTTCTGTCAGTTTGTTGACCTCCTGCCAGCTCCCTCTGTGAACACTCTTACAAGGATGTGGCTTTTTTAGGTTTCATGTCAAGCCTTCCATGAGCTCACTTCACACCTGGTGCTTTTTTAATATTTTACAAGGCAATCATGCTTGTAATCTTCCACTACCGTCCTCTGTAGGTTTTTACAAATGAATTTGTATTCTAAGTTGGTGTTGGGTTTGGTTACCATTGGTTCCTTTGCTTGGGGAGGGGAGGGGAACAAAAGTTTCCAGACTCCTTGTTATAGTGATTGCTTTATCTTGATCAGTCTTTTACTGGAAATGGTGATAATAAAGATCAATATATTTGCACTTTTTCATTTTCTGCTTTTGGCATTGGTGGCTTCTTTGAGTAGATCAGCCTGGAACATCTGGAGTTGTATTCATTTTCTCATCATTATCCTTTATCCTAATTTCATGCTGATTTTTACATATTCATTTATGTTTAATATATTCACAGAGTCAGAGATACAAAGCCAGAAGGAACCTTAGATGCCATGTAGTTCAACCCCCTCATTTTACAGATGAAGAAACTGAGGCAAATAGGGTTAAGTGACTTGCCCAAGGTCCCACAGCTAGGAGGCCCAGTGGATAGAGCACTGAGTTCAGAGTAAGGAAGTCCAGAGCTCAAATCCAGCTTCAGGCACTTACTGACTGTGTGACCTTAAGTAAGTCAATTAGCTTGTTTGTCTCAGTTTCTTCAACTCTAAGTAAGGATAACAACAGGGCCTATCACATAGGGTTGTTATGAGAATCAAATGAGATAACATTAGTAAAATGCTTAGCACAATGCCTGGCACATAGTAGGTGCGATATAAATGCTAGCCATTATTGTTAATAATAGCAGAGGCAAAATTTGAGCCCAGGTCCTATGATTCTAAAGCCAAAGCTCTTTCTAATACACCATGTTTTCTTAGTTGATGACCTAACAATGCCCAGATAGCTAATATGATTCCCACCTCAGTAACTAATTATTTCCTGTCCATTAAAATGAATTTTATTTTTTTACAATATTACTTAGTGTAAATACTTTCTCCACAATCTTGAACAGATCTTGCAATACCACAGTCTCTGAAAAATCAGACTTGTGGGGGCAGCTAGGGGGCACAGCAGATAGAGTACTGGCCTTGGAACTAGGAGGATCTGAGTTCAGATCCAGCCGCGGACACATGACACTAGCTGTGTGACCCTGGGCAAGTCATTTAACCCCCATGGTCTCACCAAAAAGAAAAAAAATGTTACGAGCCCCTGGGCTAGACTTTCTCTAAGGTCCATGAACCTGAGGCCCTGGTGAAAAGCGTGTTCAGGCTCAGCCAGCCCAGAATTTGAACCTCCATCTTCTGACTTAACTTAATTCCAGCGCTCTACCACCACAGAAACATTACAACTTCCCTACTATTCTTATCTCCAGGCAAACATGTGTCCCACTCATCCTTTGCAAGTGAAGCCCATTCTGAAAGATCTTAAAGGCATCTGGACAGCACTGAGGAGATGGGATTTTCCATATCTCTCACCCATTTCAGTGAATTCCATTCTACGGATCCCAGCTGCCAAGGCAAAGTTTTGGCATTTGGGAGGCAGAGGGAATCTCCGTCACCAAACTCTTCACTGCATGCTTTTAGAACTCCAGTATTGACCCTCTTTCTTACTCAGCTGTTCCCAAGATGCCCCTGATTAGGCTGGGACTTTCCCAGACACAGATCAGGCATTTGCCCAGTGAGCTGTGAGGGAATTTTCACTTTCTGTACTTTTCCATGGCTGGCAGCAATGCAGCATCGGTGACCTGAGCCTCTGGAAGCTGTTTAGTGGTCTGTCACTCTAAGGCTTTACCCACACGGGTACATCCTGCCCCTGACTCAGAGTTTTGGAAATGCAGAAGGGCTTGGGGGGTGGGGGGAGGCATGCAGCTATTTTTTCCCACTTCACTGGATCCTCACAACAACACCCAGAGGTAGATCCTGTTATGAGCTCCGTTTTACAGATGAAGAAACTAAGGCAAATAGGTTAATTGACTTGCCCCAGGTCACACAGTCAGTAAGTGTCTGAGGCTGGATTTGAACTCAGGACTTCCTAATTCTAAGCCCAGTGCTCTATCTATGGGAGTAAGGAGACCCAGGATCTAAAGCAGTTCTCAACTCTTTGTCTTATGCTGGGGAGAAAGACAAAGACATAGGGGAGGATGCTTGTGGGAAGTTTAATTTTCTTGTTGTCATTTGTATATATATATATACATACACATATATACATATATATACACATATATATGTATATATACATATACACATATATATATATATTTGCATTTTGCATATATTAAGTCCTCACAAAGGAGTTCTGTTGCTATTTCTTCATCCTGTGCCTTGTTTAGTCTGAACTGAAAAAGCCTCTGAGAATGACCTCATTTTCTGTGGGCATATACCTTCTTATTTGCCTTTTAGCATTCCCAAGAGAGACCTTTTTTAATGTCCTGCTGATGTGAGAAGAGGGAGTGAACGGTGGCGGGGAGGAAGGAGCCAAGACCTGGGTTTCTTACCTTTCCTGTAGTCTTTATTCCCTTCCAGATGCAGAAATAGCACACAATCCAGGCAAGCAGGAGACACAGGGCCAGCTCCCAGCGCAGGGCCCCTATATCATGGATGCCCGTTGTGATGCCCAGGACCCTCTTTCTGAAAGCCATGAGAAAAAGATGGGAAAGGTAAGAGTGACTTTGTCTCCCTGACCTCTGATTTTTATGGCAGATTCCACAGCTCTGGCATCCTCCCATCCTCCCACAGCCATTCTGGGAATTAAGGGATCTAACAGATTCTCCAATCCAGCCACCTCATCTGATGAGAACGTTAAAGCCCAGTGAGCGATTCACCCAAAGTAACACAGTGAATTACTATCAGAGACCCGAGTCTTCTAAATTCTTGTCCGGTACTTCTGATTATACCATCCTGCCTGTGTGGTCTGGGGTGGAGGAAGTGGGTATTGTGTGAATGTGCATGGGGCAGAAGAGGTGTAAACATGTCAAGAAGAAGGCACAAGAATTCTTGAACTTGCCCCCCTTCCCCTTCTTCCACCTCCCAGGCCTCAGACATCTGGATTCCTTTGCCTGACACGTGGAGAGAAGGGCCCAACTACCTACTCCCAGAACTCGATGACCGGTGAGGTGCTATTGTTTGATGCCTCCGAGCTACTTGAGCCTGAACAATTCAGAAAATCCACACAGTATTCTGCAAAAGACAAAAATTATAAATGATGTCATCATGCAATTATAAAGTCAAACCTGGAAAATATCTTGGAGATTAGCTAGTCCAGTCCCATTCTGTAGAAGGGAAGACTGAGTCCCAGAGAGAGGAAATGATCTTTGTCAGAGGTCTGTTAGCTAGGGATGAGATGTGGCAAACATTTCCTCCTGCTTTTCATTACTGCTTTAGCCCCTTGGAGCCCCCAGTCACATGTTCCCACATAGAAATCAGCCCAGGAGCAACCTCCAACCCCGCTGTTTCTTAAAGCATCTAGTCATTGGCTCCTTAGACTATGTCTATGGAGTCTGTTCTCCCTCTCCTGTGACCTGCCCCGGGCCTGTTCTTGGTGAACCTCCTGGTTCTTTATTGTCATTAAGTATTTGAAGGTCTTGCACATGGAAGAGGGTTTATACTTGTTCTGCCTGACTCCAGAAGGTAGAGTTAGAAACAATAGGTACAGGGTGCGAAAGGGCAATTTAGGCTTTATTGGGTTGGGGAGGGGGAGAAGGAGAGGGAATAAACAAACTTCTTAATTAATTAACATTTAATTAATTTTAAATTAAATTTTAAAACAATTTAATTAATTGTCCAAAAAAATGGAATGGGATGCTTTAGGAGGCAAAGACCTACAAGCAAAGGTGGGATGACCCCTTGTTGGGGATGTTAGCTAGGGGATTCCTGGTCACTTAGAATTTGGACTGAATAACCTCTGTGCTCCCCCTTCCAACACTGTTATTCTGTGACTACTTACTTCTCCAACCCCTTGACATAATTCATAATTCTAGTCTGGTCTTCTAAAATGTTGTCTCCCCACTCAGCTTCTAAACCTCAGCAAACTTGATCCTGGGTGAGGAAGGTAAAAGTCACTAGTCCCATTTTACAGGTGATAGGACTAAGGCTCAGAAATACCAAATAATAGTGAGCCAGTCAATAGAACCAGGACCAGAATACAGTTCTTCTGGCTCCACGTTTAACATCCTCTCCACCATGCTATGTCATTCCCCTGGTGTCTCAAAGGTACCCAACCCATGTACCCTAGATTCCCCAAGACAGTCCTACATTTGAGATCCCGAGGCCCAGTACCAAGGGAGACAACCTTTCCCAACATGGCCTACTGTTCCATACCTGTGTTCCAGAAATTGGTACAAGTTGTCCAGGGCAGCTGTGAGGTGAAGGAGCTGAACAGGTAGAAGAAGGCCCAGGCAAGAATAATGATGTAGTAAACATTTAGATAGGCCTCAATGACCACAGAAGCAATTCCAATGCCTACCGGAATCAGGGAGTTGGAGTGAAAGAGCAAACAACATAGAGAGATCTCTATTATTGTCAGAAAGTACATAAACACAATCTCCAATCTATGTAGAGCAGGATGTTGGTGGTAATCAAAGAAAAACCAGATAGATGCAATATTAGCAACTCACATGTCTATATAACAGTTTTACCCAGTATTTTACACACACAAAAAAAATTATCAGTATTTAAAAAAGAAGAGGAAACTGAAGCTCAAAATGGGGGTTAACTTAGGGAGAGGAGGCCATGGGGTCAAACCCAGGTTTCTTGAATCTAAAACCAATGTTTTTTCCATTACACCACATGGATTGCTACGGCCCCTGCCCTCAAATCAGTTAAGAGCTAAGTCCCAATTAAACAATATGACTGCATATGACCATAGGGAGGATTAAACAAAAAATAACAATAATTGATATGTATATTGAATTTTGCATACATTAACTCCTCACAAAGTGCTTTGCCAAATTAACTACTTGAGTCTCACAATTCCATGAAAGTAGATATAAGTGATATAACTACACCCATTTTACAGATGAGGAAATTAAAGTTCAGAAAGGTAGTAAGAGTTGGAGACAGAATTCAAAATCAGGTCTTCCTGAGTCCAAGTCTAACATTCTATGCACTATTACATGCTAACAATCTCTGAAAGAGATTAACAGATATGCAAGTAGACCATGTAAGTATTGGTATTATATTTGTTTCAGCCAATGCTTAATTTTAGGATAGAAAGTGCTTCCTTGGTTCTACTGTAGCATCAAAGCATAAAACGAAGAACACTGCTCCCAGAGAGGAAGGTGAAGAAGACTTGAGTGAGACCTAGTTTGTAGGAGAGACTGTAGTCCGCTTCCTTAGACATTTCTCCTGACCATAACTCATCTGGAAAATCCACATCCTTTCAGAACTCTCTGCATATGCAATGGAAACTTTAATTATGGTATTGGAAGTGAACATTAACTCAAAGGGATTGTTTGATGTTAAATGTTCCACAAAAGCAAGAATTAAAAAAAAAAGTCATCCCATTTTCAACTCTCTATCTTTTCCAATTCACCTGGATTCACCCACTTCAAGAAGAAAGGCTTTTCTTTAATGTTGCTTTAAACTGGACCTCTGGTCCTCTGGTGAACCTGGGGCCTATTGCTAAAAACAAGATGGAAGTACCATCTACATGAAGAAGGTCCAAGTGAGCTTTGAGCCAAAATATTCCTCAAGTGAGGTGGAAGAAGAGAGAAGAGAGGAAAATTGGGAGCATGGGAAAAGAGGACATGGGACACTGAAGGCAGGGTGGGTCTATGGGTTCAGGCTGAAAAGATTTTCAGTACATGTACATACACGTGCACATACAGACAAACATCTTTTCATTCTTGAAGACACGTGCTCACCATTAGAAACATCCTGTCCAGAGGCATTCAGAGTCTGATTAAACAAAGAGATGTGGACAGAGCAAAAGGGGGTGGAGGAGGGAAGTGGGTGTGAGCAAAGCAATGAGCTTCTGTGTGTGTTCGTGCATGGGTGTGTACCTCTGTACCCTCACTATGGACATTGGTGCCCCTTGGCAGGATATCAACGGTGTAAACAGTGCATGAGAGGAAAGTATTCACCTGGATTTTTCCTGCCTGCCTTAGCAGGGAGGGAGGAAAAGGCCAGACTAAGTATTTCAAGGGATACTGAAGATGTTTGTGTGGAGGGATGAGGATGGGAGGTGCATCTTTGAAAAGCAAGAGTATATCATCCCTTCTCCCTCCCTACCTTCAATCTCTCCCTATCTACTAGTTCCTTCCTTCATGGCTGCTTACAAACATGCCCAGGTCTCCACCTTAATTTTTGTCATTGAGTCATTTCAGCCATATCCAACTCTCTGTGACCCCACTTGGGGTTTTCTTGGCAAAGGTTTGCCATTTCCTCCTCCAGTTCATTTTGCCTATGAGGAAACTGAAGTAAACAAGGTTAAGGTACTTGCCCAGGATCACGCAGCTAATAAACGTCTGAGGCCAGATCTGAACTCAGGTCCTCCTGACTCCAGGGCTGTCATTCTATCCACTGCACCACCTCCCTGTCCTTCCCCCTTACTTAAGCCTTTATTTGATCCTACCATCCCTGCTAGTTTTTGTCCTTTATCTGTTCTTTTTTTTTTCAGGTGTACTTCTTGAAGAGAAAAAAAAGCTTTCTATATTAGATGGCTCCTCTTCTCCTCTTACTCTCTTCTATAATTGTAGAAATGTTAAAGCAGCTGGAGGGTATTAGATCTGGAGTCAAGAAAATCTGAGTTCAAATCTATCCTAGCTGTACGATCTTGGACAAGCCCCTTAACATTTATGTGCCTCAATTTCTGTTATTTGGGGCTAACGATAGTACCTACCTCCTAAGGTTGTTGACAGTCAGGAAGACCTGTCATTTAAAACTGAACTAAGACTTTTGGGACACCTAATATGTGTGCTTTTCTTCCCCATTAGAATGTGAGCTCCTTGAAAGCAGATTGTCTTACTTTTCTATCCCTATCTCTAGTGCTTAGCATAGTGTTTTGCACACAGTGGGCACTTAATAAATGCTTCTTCATTCTTTCAATAGAGAGTATAATTTTCTGGCACTAGTGATGTTTGCATTTACGAAAAGTCACTCAAAATGCCTCTTTGTTCCATTTTGTATGTTATAGAGGCAGCATGCTATAATAGAAAGAAGATTTGAGTTCCAAGTCTGGTTTTGCAACTTAATACCTAGTTGACCCAGGCAAGTCACTAAACCTCTCCAGCCCTATTTGGCTTACTTGAAAAATACTCTAGGGTTACTTTCTAACTCTAAATATTATTGGGACTTATATTGCACCCTGGACATCTGTCTCTCTTACATACCCTTAATCCAACCTCTCATTGTCTCTATGGTGGGCACACAAAGGCTAGGAGAGCAGGGTTGGAATGTCCCACAAGACAAGGTGGCAACAGATCTCAAGAACGGCCACCTGGAGAAAGCCCCTCTCCACTCTGAAAGAAAAAAAGCCCAAAGAAGAAAGGAGACAATGCACCTCTGTCCTTTCTTTTCAGAGGTGAGGGACTATGGATATGTGTACACACACATACACATATATATGCAATATATGTATATATATGTGTATTGTATACACATGTATATATATTATCAGGCTTCTTGGATGCATTGGTTCATTTTGCTGAATTATTTTTTCTCCTACTTCCTTTTTATTCTTTGTTACATGAAAGAAAAGATATATTTGGAAATGCAGCTGATATAAAAACAAATGATATCAATAACTTTTTGTGTTTTTTTTTAAAGCCCACCCACCTTTCAGGCAGACACTTTAAGGAAGGAATATGGCCAGATTTCTCGCAGACTCCTTCCATTGGCCCATCATGGCCCTAGAGAGACTTTTAGGCTAAGTGTGAGAAGAGGGGGAGCAGGGACAGCATCTAAGTGCATGTTGGATGTTCAGTAAATCCATCCCTTCCTGTATAGAGGCAATGAGCAGCAGGAAAGGGTGAAAGAGAGTTGGGGAACCAGTAAAAAGAAAGGACATAAGATAGTCCAAAGAAGAGATGAGAAAAAGGCTGGTACTCACCCTCAAAAAGGGGACAGATCTTTTTCCAGGCTGTTATGCTGCCTTGACTGGTATACTGACCCAGTGCTGTCTCCAGGAAGAAAACTGGGATGCCACAGGTGAAGAAGAAGATGGAGTAAGGGATAAAGAAGGCACCTGTGGAGGAAGACAAAAGCCAAGAGCTCAGGCCACACTGTCTGTCCTCCATAACTTTCTTTCTCATCCTTTTTCCTTCCCCATCTCTTCTCTTGCATACCCACACCCTCCCATCATCCCACTCTATACCCTTGCCCCTCCGTCCTCCCCCATACACATATACACCCAATCCTCTCTTGTATTGATCATCTGGACAGAGGTCCTCTTGGAGAGGACTTTCTGCTCTTAGAAAGTAATCCTGGAGTACCATGGACTTCAACCAGATATGAAATTTGGTACAGGCCTATAAACCCAAGCTATCATTCAATCGACATAAGGCTAGGCCGAAGAAACATTGGGCAAGTATTAATCAATCTATTAACAAGGATTTGTTAATTACTCCCTATGTGCAAGGCAATGTGATTTTAGAACAAGCCCGCACAACATACAGTCTGCCAAAGGATTTCCCGTGGCCAGCGAAAAATGTAGGGTTGCCACTGTGCAATCTCTTATTCGTCACGTGACCCGCAGCGACCAACCATTGTCAGTCTGTCTCTAGTCTAACCTATCTGGGGCTCGAAAAAGTTTAGCCTATTTTAATTTTGGCACCTACCTACTGCCAAGTTGTGCAGCTGTGTTTTAGAACAACCTTAAGCACTGAAAGTGAGTGAACAAAGACCCACATGTGTTAAGAGATGAGATTTCTGAGCATTCTGAGCATCAAAATTGGTCTATGCAAGGATATAACTCCCCTTAGACCACTGCTTTTGTTTCCAGTAGACAAGGTGAATTATTCTTTAGTTGGCGTAATGCTAATAAAACCATCAGATGAAGGAAATTTAAATAGTTTGAGGTAAGATGGTTTGCAAGGCCCAGGAGGGTAGAAGACAGTCTCTATCTCCTCTTCTACCCTTCCTCCATCCCAAGTCTCATTCCCTGCAAGGTAACCTGTAAGTTTTATACTTTTAAAAAACGCAAAGAAGCAGCAAGGATCTGAGCCCCTGCAGGTGGGAATTTAGTGTAGGGTTTGAATTGTAGAGGTTTGTCTACACAGATATTTAGAGGTTGGTGAGGCAGCTATAACTGTCCAACTAACCTTTGACAGGCTGTGGAGCAACACCTAGATTAGGTGGGGCTGCTGAGCCTGGCCTAGGGCCATTTTACGTCCTCTCGCTCTTCCTCCCCATCATCCTATGCACTGTAATTCTCCGACCCTACTCTCCATTTTAACTTTTTTAGAGGCATCAAAAGAGGGAGGTCGGTGTCGAGGGTCACTTAGCTGTGAGGGAAAGACATCGGGGAAGTAACACCAGGTTTTCAAAGCAACGTTTTTCATGTACTTCCCACCCTCACCCCGCCTACCTCAAAGTGAACTCACCACCTCCGTTCTTATAGCAGAGGTATGGGAACCTCCAGACATTGCCTAGACCAATGATCTCTCCAGCCATCGACAGCACAAAATCCATCTTGTTAGCCCATTGGCCACGATCTCTGATCTCCTCCTCCTCCTCTCCTTCAGGGCCCCAGGAAACCACTGAGGGACCATCCTCCTGGATCACCACTTTCCCATCCATTGCACTAGCAAAGTGCTGAGGAAGCAGGAGAAAGGAAGAAAAAACAAAGCCTGAGAGGAGAGAGAAGAGACAAGTTTTAAAGCTCCTTGAGGACAGAATCTATGCCATTTCACTGGTATCCCCAGCACCTAGGACTGGGATTTCCATATAAAAGTTGATTACAACTCACTGTGTGACCTTGAGTAAGTCATTTCTTTCCTCTGGGGCCTCAATTTCCTCATCTATAGGATGAGGGGGTTAGATTAGGTCATCTCTAAGGTCCTTTCCAAATAAACGTTCTGTGATTCTATAACAAATATCTGTGGAATTTAAGTGAAGTATTCTGTACTAGCTCCACCTCTCCCCACCAGCAGCATTTGTTCCATTCCTGTCTCAGAAGTTTCTACAATGCTTTTATCCTCAAGTCCCCAAAGCATCTGGCAATTATTGTCACAACTGACCCTCACTACCCTGGGAGAGCAATAGGGGGCCAGCAGCTTGTTCATAATCACACAGCACGTCAAGGACAGAGTAAGGATTAGGAAGCAGGGCTCTTAATTTCCAACCAGGGAATCTGATTTCTGCCAATGCCTTTCACCAGCACTAGCCTTCCCTTGAAGACCTGGGTCTCAGCTGACTGAGTCAGTGGCCCTTGCCTAGCTGCCTGGTTGGGGAGAGGATCAAATGATTCTGTGGGTGACAAGAGGTCAAAGATCAGGCATGGCAGGGGTGACTGCACCCCTCCACCCCCACTAACTTTGTGCTCATTCTCAGGCCAAGGTTAACGATCTCCACAGGGTAAACAGGGGAGCCATCTCAGTCTGGGCATCTGATTGGGAGGGGAACAGAAGGTGGAGCCCATAGACAGAGCCAGAAGAGGAGGCTGGGGGGAGAGGAGAGGTGAAGACTTAGGACAGAGACATCAAAGAATCAGGGGTTGAAAGGGATCTGAGGGGTCCTCTTGTCCAACCCTACCTGAGTGGGAATTCCCCTCTACAGCATGCCAGACAAATGGTCATTCACTCTGCTTGAAGAAGTCCACTGTCTTGTGGAAGAGGAATTAGACTTGTTTTGTCCTGATAAATCTCAGGAGGGAAAAAGATGACTTTCAAAGAAATGTTAGGTTCTGTTTCACCCATCCCTGTGCCTTCCCCTGGTGCCCCCACTATGCTGGAGAAAAGCAGGAAAGGTTGGGATAGAACAGAAGTCTTCACCCAGAAGGGCATCCCACTATGATGCTAACTGGCCTGCAGGGCAGGACCATCCACCCACTGCAGGAAGAACAAATCATCCCAATACCATGCAGTGTTTCCAGGGGGCCTTTGGGGTCATCGCTGATCCCTCTTCTCTTCCTCTTAGAACAAGCTTGTTATCTCCCTGAGCCTTGAGAAAAATGGCCCATAAGCCTCTAGGATCATCTCATCCTGCTGCACCATATGATACTTGGAGGCACTGGTTCTGCAATCAGGATACCTGAATTCAGGTCCTGGCCTTAGGAGTGATTTAAGCAAATGACTAAACCAAGGAGTTTAGTCTGAATCAGGCACAGGTTCCCCACCCCTGGACTAAACCTATCTAAGCCTTAGTTTTTTCATCTATAAAATGGGAGCAATGATACTTGCCTATAGTTTCACAGGATTATTGCAAGGAAAACATTTCATAAATTCAAAAACACCAAAGAAAGGTGAAGTCATTGTTATCATGGACATTGCTCCATCAGATTACAGAACACTTGAGAGTGGGAGGCTATTAGATAGAAAATTATCTGTGTCATAATTCTGCGCCTCTAATTCTATCTTTCAGGTCAAAGCAAAAGAAATGAGGCCATATGTGTGTATGCATGTGTGTGTATTTTGTTTTTGGCTTTTTTTTTTTTTACCATTCCATACCTCAGTCATTCCTGCTATCTTCCTCCCGACTGCAGAGAAGGAAGAACAATTCCCACCTTTGCTTTTTTGTTGCACCCTCCCCTCCACGACCAGCTGAGGGTGGTAGAAAAATCAAAGAGAGCATGTCTATAAAATGGTCTGTGCTTCTCCGAGGCTCTAGACTAGGAAATACAAGGGATTCTTTTTATTAGGGAAGATTCTGCTTGTTTGCTTGTCTCTTTAGCCCAGGCAACAGCCCAAGTTTAAGTCAGTTAGAAGGGTGTGGACTGGGGCCACCTGAGGTTATGGAAAATTTTGAAGGTGACTTGGAGGGTGCAGGTCATAACAAGAATGATAAAGCATGCCAGGTGTGAAATTATAGTAATAAGTTGGGCTCACAGGCTTCCTCAGTACACTCAGCACATAGGGCAAGAATGTGGCGGCAGGAACAAAGAAGGAATGGGACTTCCTGGTGGCTTTTTTCCTGGACTAGGAGATGAAGGGAAGAAAGGGAAAGGAGGATTTGCTGAAAGATGAGGAAGCTTGAGATGCTTGAGGTCTTAAGGACTCACTCTCACAGAGTCATTGGAATCTTGGATCAAGTGGGCTTACCTGTAGCGAGGAGATTCAGAAGTCACTTAACCTCTTTGAGACACAATTTCCTAATCTGTAAAATGAAGATAATTATGCTTGCTCTACCCATCTTCTGTTGTCTTGAGAAAACCACTTTGTAAACTTTAAAGCATTAGATAAAAGGTAATTATTAACATTACCACATCCACTCAAGCCTTCAACAGATCCTCTAAATATGCCCTCACCTTTGACCCTGATATTGCCAGGGAGGGGGGTGTGTTGGTTATAGAACCATAGAAGAAAGCTGGAAGGTTCTTCAGATGCCATCTACTTCAACCCCATCTTTTTACTGGTGAGTAAACTGAGACCCAGAGAGATTAATTGACTTACCCAAGGCCACACAGATATTTTCAGAGGTGAGATTTCAACTTATATTCTCTGACTCCAAGGCCAGTGTACCACACTGCCTCCATCAGACATTTTTCAGTCTTTTCAAAAAAAGTTTTTCAAGTGAATATAAACCATTGCCTTAGTGGAAAAGTATCCTAGGCTGAGTCAAGAAACCTGAGTTTAAACTCATTCCATCACCTTAGGTATGTTGTATTTATTTGTATCTATTTGATATTCAATTTGTGTATATATGTCATTTTTCCCCCACTAGAAGGGAATCTCCATGAGAGAAGTGATGTTTATTTTTTATCTTAGTATCCCTAGTACTTAGAGGAGTGCCTGACCACAGTTAGTGCTTAATAAATGCATGGTGTTGTTGTTGAATCACCTATTTGGGCCTCTATTTTCCTGTCTATGAAATGGGAGAATAAGTACTCCGTATCCCCACCCCCAACCAACATTGTGAAGATAAAATTAAAGTAGTATGTAAATACAAGAGGCTATTTATATTATCTTTGTTTTTGCTAAGCCTCAGGTTAGGGCAGCCACTGGAAATCCCAAATCCCACCAGTCCCCAAGAAGAGTATCCTAGATGAAAGTCTCACTTTTCCTGAGCTCTCCTGTTCTCCAAAATTGGCGAATCCAGACTTTTGGGGTCATGGACCCCTTTGGCAGTCTGGTAAAGCCTATGGACCCCTTTTCAGAATAATATTTTTAAATACATAAAAAGAAAATACAATTACAAGGGAAACCAATCAGATTGAAGTACACTAATTAAAAAAAAATTTAAGTTCAGAGACCCCAAATTAAGAACCTCTGGATTAGAAGTTTGGAGTGGAGGGAATGGGGGAAAAGGGACCAGGGTCTCAAGACAAGATGGAAAGGAATGTGGGTCCTGACCTGAGGAAGCAAAGAGGCCCAGAAAAAGCAGAGAAACAGGGGCAGCTAGGTGGCGCAGTGGATAGAGAACCGCCCCTGAAGTCAGGAAGCCCTGAGTTCAAATCAGACCTCAGACACATAACACTTACTAGCTGTGTGACCATGGGCAAGTCACTTAATCCCATTGCCTAGCCCCCCCCAAAAAAAAAGAGCAGAAAAACACCCACACAGATCAAAGTGGGAAAGGACAAGGACAGGTAAGAGAAAGAGGCTAGCTTAGAACCATTTTTGCACAATGCCAGTGGGAAAAGAAGCTTAAAATATAAAAATAGATTTAGGCTAAATTCAAGTAAGATCTTCCAAAAAGAGAGTATTTTATATATGAGAAGAAACCACCAAGGGAAGATCATCAATCTTCTTTCCTGGACCACATTTATAAGGAGGAAAGAGAACTTGTTTCCCTATTCTCTGTGAATAGTTTAGGGTCCATATTTCCCATAGGCAAAAAATTGGACATTCTAGTCTCTAGAGATATATAACTCCATGCCCTGTAATCCAGTGCTCCATTCTCAGCTTCCTGGTATCACCTGTCCATGCCATCCACCCATCTACTTTAGATGATGGAGTCTGGCATACGTGGAGGGAGAGGAAAAGGGGAAGGGAGGAGAGGGAGGGAGAAACCTGCTAGATATGTCTGTGAAGACAGGAGTTCAGTCCCACACTGGGCTCTGCAAAAGTTGTAAGCAAAGTCCAGTTTCCCAGGTGCCTTCCTAAGAACAGTAGTCAGATCCTGGTTCCAGGGATGAAATATCCCTCTGCACCCTGCCCCCGGCAGCAGAAAATCACTGGCTTCCTTACCTCTCCATGCATTTGGGCAATGTCCACTCTCTGAGTGTTCACTGCCCGAAAGTTCCAGGGATGATACATTCCCCATTCTGTGAGGCCCTGCCTAATTTCCACACCCACATACCAATGCCTGTTTACACACACACACACACACACACACACACATATGCATGCACAACCACACACTCTTGTAGTTCCTGGTCATGTCCCCGTGCACACACATACCTGTGTTCACGGCCCCAAAACCTGAGGGCCTTAGTCCGTCCTTCACACCCAGTGGATAAGTTTGTACGTTGGCTGCCTTCCTCCCTCCTTCACCATCCCCTTCTTTCATTCTAGCCCCAGTCTCCTGTTCTCATCCCAGGTGACACATGCATTCTTGTACATCCCTTTCTGAGTCATCTGAGATCCCGATTAGCTTTCCCTTTCTTGGAAAAGCATGTTACTATCACAGCTAACCCAGGATGGGGGGAGATACCTCTCACTACATCCCACCTCAATAACCAGGTTTTATGGCACTCCACCTTCCTTCCCACCCCCAGGTAGGTCCTTGACCCACCATATACACGGCTTCCATACCCCTACTACACCGGCTAACTTGTTGCTAGCCAGTCTTCTACACTACCTGGCACCTTTCCCTAATGTTCTCTTCTTATCTCTCCCTTGTTGTCCATTCCATTCTGTTCTGGACCCCCTCTCCCTTGGGGCACGGCCCCTTCCTTTCTTTGGCAATCTCCCTACCCTCAGCCTTTCCTGTCCAAATGTATCTATGCCTTTAGAAATCCAGGTAGTGAGATATCAATGGGGGGAAATGACATTTCCATGTTAAGCTTCCCCTAGAACTAAGACAGCCTTTGCTCTCAGTGTATTAGGGAGAAAGGATCCCCTATTCTGTCCCTCTCTCCCCATCCTATGACTACTTTCTAATCAAGGATCTTAAAACTTAGCTAAATCTCCTCTAGTTCAGAAGAATCCTTTCTGAAGGCAGCTTTCAGAGACTGTGACAACAGTCCCTCCATCTCACCTCAGTCCCAAATCCAGGTTCCTGTGGTCAGCTCAGCGTTGGGCCATCGGGTCCTTGGGACAGGCACTCAGGAAGCTGCTGGCTTGCAAGAAAGCCAAAAGAAAGGGGGCCTGGGAAGGAAACACCACTCCACCTTTACTCCTCCTACTTTCCCCTCCCACCTCCTGAATCCCATCAGTTGTCCCAGGACTCCCAGACAGAGAGCTGCTCTGTGTGTGTGTGTGTGTGTGTGAGTGTGTGTTTGCAGGCACCCGTATGTCAGCAGGGAGGTGGCTGACAGAAACGCCACAAGTGACAGGAGGGACTGGCCTAACGTCTGTGAACGTGATTACAACATCTAAACCCAGGAAGTTGAGTCCCCAGGGTCTAACCGACGCCCCCCCCCCCAACCTCCCAGTCCCTCCATGGACACAGTCCTAAAGGTTCAACTGAACTGAACTACTCCCTTTAAAGAGCCCAGCAGACAAGATCTTCTCATTCCCAACACCACTCATCTCCCCTCTCCTCTCAAATCTTTTAAGTCCAAAAGACCAGGAATGGGGGATAAGTGGGAAAGGGTGAGTCCTCTCTACTAAAGGCAGCAAGAGCTTGCTCACTTACTCCCAGGCCAGGAGTGGTGGTCTGGCTGTTTTGGGCAAGGGACTGGGAGGTGATCCAATCTTAGTTACTGGAGTTTTCCACAAAGCATCAGCCTTTCAGACAAACTTTCAGAGAAGCACACTGAACCAAAAACCACATAATTAGGCTTGGAGTTCCTATCCTATCCCTCACCAGCCAGGGTGAACATGGATCCAGTTTCCTCCTCTGTAAAATGGGAATAATAATATTTGTCCAACTGATAAGGCAAGTGGAAAGGCAAGTGCTTTGTAAACTCTAAAATACTGCATACGGAAATCCTCATTTTTACTACTAGAATTATTATTTTCATCCAGAGTGAGTCCAAGGTGGTAAGGATAGCTCCATTGAGTGTCAGTTTCCCCAAAATTAAGAGCCTAAGACAGTGCCTGGCCCCTATCAATAGGAATGACCTTCTGATTGTTCCCTTCAGTCTTCATATTTATACAGATAGAGAACCTGTCTCTACTGGTGAACCTTATCTAGTAGGTACTCACTAACAATTCTTAGAAGAAATAAACTCCTGTGTTACATGGACTCTTTTTTTCTTATTTTTTTCTGTTTTCATATCTGCCATGAAACTATTACTTTCTTGAGGACAGAATTCATATCATGGAATGGAACCTAGTCATGCCACCCAGGTCATGATACTGATATGGCCAAAACCTACTGTGAGACAATGGTTCTAAAATAATATTGGCCAGCATGTATACACATGTACACATGTGTCTAGATAGAGAAAATCATAAATTTATAGCTGCCACTACCTTTAGAGTTCATTTAGTCCAACCCTTCCATTTTACAGATAAAGAAAAAAGGCTTAGACAGATTTTCCTATAGTCACAAAACTAGTAAGTGGTGGTATGAGGACCTGAAGCCAAATTTCCTAATTTCAAGTGTTTGGTTCTTTCCATTACACCCCACTGCTTCTGAAACTGCCTGTATGACCAAAGAAATGGAGACAGAGGCAGAGGGGGAGGGGAAGGAGGGGGGGAAGACAGTACATTTCCTTTCTCATCTACTTCCTCTTCAACATAAGTTCTTCCCCGTTCAGGATGAAGTGTGAGGTGAGTAAATCATGGCCTGTAACTTTCCACAAGGCCACTGCCCTATGTGTCTTCCAAACCACAGCCAGGATCTTCCTGCAAGGCTCTTCTGCAGAAGATATACAAAATTATTCTCGGGTAACAGAGGCTGCTCATTTGATCATCAGCTACCCTCTAAGATGAGGGCTGGGAGCCTGGCATACTCCATTCAGTGAAGTTTATGTAGCATTCAACCACAGAAAAATGCCACTTTGATAATCTCTCTGTTTAGCATGCCCTTCAGCACAGAAAGCCACATCTGGGACCTTGAATTTCCTGTCTTTCTCTCACATGATTGTCCTATCTTTATCCTCACCCTCACCCCCCACCCCAAGCCCAGCTTTCTTTAGATTGTGAGCTCCTAGAAAGTTGGAATTATTTCTCCTACTAGAGAGGGGTGGGGAACCTGTGGCCTTAAGGCCGCATGTAGCCCTCTAGGTCCTCAAGTGCAGCCCTTTGACTGAATCCAAACTTCACAGAACAAATTCCCTTAATAAAAGGATTTGTTCTATAAAACTTGGGCTTGGTCAAAAGGCTGCACCCACACGTGACCTCAAAACCGCAGGTTCCCCACCCCTGTTAGACTCTTGGGAAAATGGATATACAGTCCATGCTGCTAAGTTGCTGAGACCTCCTCTAAGAAGGGAATCCTGGGCTTTATCTCCATTTGAAAAATATTTACTATGGAAAAGGTGTAGTGCTGGGGATCACAATGACAAGAATGAAACAACCCACGCCCTCAAGAAAATTTACATTCTACTGAGGGAGATACAATAAATACACATAAATAAATACAAGATAATTTGAGGGGGGAGGAAGCATTAACAGCTGGGGGTTTCAGGAAAGGCTCTCAATAAAAGGTGGTACATGAGCTGAGCCTTGAAAGAAGAAAAAGAGATTCTGAGAGTCAGAAATGAGGAAGGAATGCATTCTAGGCATGCCCAGAGATGAGAAATGGAATGCAAAGTTCGCAAAATAGCTAGAAACTTAATTTGGCTAGGATGTGTCAAGTGAACATGAAATAAGTCCAGAAAGGCAGGAGGAGGTTAACTTGACTTTAAATGGCAAGCTAAAGAGTTGGTATTTTATTGAATTAGGGGATTATTGGACAATGGCAAGACAATGAAGGATTTTAAACAGGGACTAGATATAATCTGAGTTGTGCCTTAGGGAGATTATTTTAGCAGTTGTAAGGATTGGATTGATTGGAGATTGGAGAAACTGTAAGTAGGGAGACACACTACAAGACTATTACAAAAACTCAATAAAGACGTGATGGGGACCTGAACTAGAATGGAGGCAAAGTATTTAGAAATAGTAGGATGGATTTGATTGACATGGAAGTAGAATCAACAAAACCTGGCAACTAATTAGATATTGAGTTAGTGAAGGGAGATTATAACTCTGAGATTACAAATTCAAGTCACTAAAAAGATAGTAAGTAGTGCCTTCAAAAAAAATGCACAAGTTTGGAGAAGAAAATAGGAAAGTTGGGGCAAGAGGAAAATGATCAGGTCCATTTTTGTACATGTTGAATTTAAGGTATTTATGGTATCTCCAGGTTGGATCTCCAGCAGGCAGTTGGTGGTTTGAAAATAGAGCTCAGGAAGGAAATAAGGACTATCTATAACAGAGGTTCCCAAACTTATTTGGCTTACCACCCTCTTTAAAAAAAATTACTCAGTGCCTCCCCCCCCAAATATACTTTCTTTAACACTTTAATGGTTTTTTTTTGAAATTTGCATCATTTCAAAAAAATACAATTTTATTAAAAAAAAACAACTCATCTTAAATTGAATAATTTATTGTAAATTTGCAGTTTTTTTCTGCATTAAAATTTTGATGATGCAATATTACATCATGTAACTATATAGTATAGTATTGTAAACAAGTCATTATATTCACATATTCCTGCCAGATACATGCTGGACTTCCTGACAGCATACGACATGTTCACCTGACAGTACTTGCATGTTAAGACCTATTGGCAGACTTGACCACTGATTGGTTATAACTTGCATTTTGTAACATTTATGAATAGTTTTTCAAAATTTTCTTATCTTCTCTTCTTTCCCTTATTTTTATTCAATGCCTCCCAATTGCACCCGAGGCGACTACCAACATGTGCCTCTCTAGGTCCTCAAGTGTGGCCCTTTGACTGAATCCAAACTTCACAGAACAAATCACCTTAATAAAAGGATTTATTCTGTAACTCAAGGCTCCAAGTTCCTCACCCCTGCAGGTCTGGATCATTCCAGAGTCCCCCCAGGGGCAGTATTGCCCACTTTGGGAATTTATGGCCTATAATATAGATGTGGGAATCATCTTCTGAGAGATGATAATAAGCCTATGGGAACTGATGAGATCAAAAAGAGAGAGAGGGCATAAAGATGAAAGAGAAGAGGGCCCAGGACAAATGGGACAGCTACTGTTAGGGAATGGGAGCTTAAGAAGAAGTGGTCACAGAGGTAGAAGGAAAAGCAGGAGAAATCAGTATCATAGAAACTAAGGCAGGAGAGAGTATTCAGGAGGAGGGAGTGGCCAATAAAGCCAAAATCTGCAGAGACATCAAGGAGCATGAAGAATTAGAAAAATGCCATTAGGTTCAGTAGTAATAAGAAATTATTAGTAACCTTGGAGAAAGCAGATTCATTCAAGTGGTGGGGTCAGAAGCCAAATGGAAGGAGTTGAGAAGTGGTGAAGAAGTAAAGGCCATGAGTGTAGTGACTTTTTCTAGAAATTTGGTTGTGAAAGGGTAGAGAGATATAGGACAGTAGGATGGAGGATCAAGTGAGGGGTTTTTTGATAGGAGAAACCTGAGTATTTCAAAGCCAGCTGAAAAGGAGAGGTAGAAAAGAAGAGATTAACCATGAGAGAATGAAAATAGGACAAGCTACCAGAGGAGATGGGAGAGGATGGGACAAAGGGCTGAAATAGAGGTTGGCCTTGATATTGAGAAAGACACTTCCTTCTCAAAGACTAGAGGAAAGGAGTAGAGGATGAAGATATAGAGGAGTTTTGAGGTATGGATTAGGAGAAATGAAAGAGTTTGCAACCGATGGACCCAATTTTCCCAAAAATATAGAAATTAAATCCTTTTCTGAGAGAGAGGGGGCAGAAGGGGGTGGTAGTAGCATAAAGGACTTAAGAAGAGGTGACAGGACAAGGGAATAAATCATCTTTTTTTGGGAAGCATGATTGGGGCTCAGTCAAGTAAGAATAAAATGACTGCCCTGCAACAGTTGGGTCCAGCTGAATAGAGAGAACATGAATTTGTAGTGTCCCACCATCCAAGGTTATATAACTTCTTCAGTTCATCATGTAAGAGTGTGAAGATAACAGATGGTGGGGGCTGTGTAGGGATAGAACTTGACAAGGTGAGTTTGGTAGGCCAAGAGAGGAAAATAATGTCAGAGTAAAGGTGATAGAATGGGAGAGCAGGAAAGGATGGCATTACTGAAGGTCATAGTAAGTATAAAGAATAGATTTAATAAGATTGAGGAAGAGAGAGGGAGATGAAAGGATAAGTTATTATCAGTGAGAGGAATTTA